TTACGTGGCTCATCTGAAAGACAACTGGTGGACGTCAAGAATTTAACGCTATGTTCAGCTGGCATCATGATCGTCCAAGAACACGCTGGGCATCGACTGCGATCGTGGCGCGTGCAAGGACGAATCGGGTAGCAGACACTTATCAGTGCTTTATCTGCATATTACTGAGTGAACTGGAATGCAGGGAGTAAGGAAAAACCTACTTCCACCTGATTGTTTCACGTTGCTTAGAGATGTTACTATATAATGAATTTATATTAATAAATAATTTTGCGGTGAACGCATCTACATAATTAATGCAAACTACGTGGATGTCAGATATCATGCGTGTTACGCACTACTGGGTATGGAAATAAATCAAGAATGCATACAATTTCACATGCAATTTATACATTACGTTCTTAAGCATTATTATCAGAAACGTGTTTACTCGGCATGTTCAAGGCTTTAATAGTTTGCTTAACCTTTCAGTTTACATTTAGTCATCCTTATAGACCGCATCCTAAACAAACAAACCATTACAATAATTTTATTGCCATACGTTGATAAATTTTTTGTTTATAATATGCCGATCTGGAAGCACCAAGAAAATCTGAAATGTTAAGCAAACCGTCAATGTTAGAATATGCAAAGTAAACCAATCTGTGATTATGGTGGTGAAGATTTATGTGCAAAAGCGATTCAATATTTTTTGAGCTTACTGAATTACGTATAAGATTATTCTGAAGTTACGTACAAGACACGACTTGTAAGCTTGATCTAAATGTTAACTTTCGATCACAATATTGACAATCAATTTTCTACCCGTAAATTTACACTAATTTAAGTTGTTCAAACAATTTGATCAGTTGTAATTCGCCACTGCGGATTAATCTTCTGTGAATTGCATGAACGCCTTATTAATAAGTAATTTATTAAGGTAGAGTCGATAGTAACTATGTGACAAGCATAGTCTGTAGTCTCATGTTTCCTTCCCGCAGAGTGAAATTCGTTTATCAACCTTAGGAGGAGAAAAGGCAAGTGAACCTGTCCAGTGCTTGATCTCGATACCTCTCAGTTCTGAATCTGACTTTCTACCAACTGAGCAACCCAATGAATAGCAAATTCCTTGCTCAAGGGAATTTGTTGCTAAAATAATGATTGCCATACGTCAATATCAACTTGAGCACCGTCGGAGTTCGAAACCGATCTCTTACGCTGTGCTGCCACGCCTCGAGGCCAAACGTAAGTCTCGGACGAATTCTCAGGATCGATTATCAAAACCGTCCAAGCAGTGATACGCATGGGAGTCGCCGTTAAGTGATCCCTCAGCTTGAGCATACAAATCGCTGAGATGATGAAGAATTCAGACAGAGCGTATTATTCAGCGACCTTGACTCAATATGAGAGGACGCGGACTTCCAGAGAAGAGCAAAGGTAACAGGGTGCGGACCGTGAGGGATTGCCTTCCGGGATTGAGTGAGGTTCGCGCGTTCTAACAGGCTATCGAAGCGAATGAAAGTCATGTGAGTGGCCCAGTCCGTGCACCATTCGCCTGGGTCACCGGTCTGTCATCCCGTTGCATGTCGGTTACCGGGGACTCATTAAAACTAAACAGATTAACGTTGAGACTTATTTTCCTGAAATTTTATGAGGTTTGGTGATAGAGATGCATTCCCATCTTCTACCTGGTTTATTATCGACGTTGTCTTCGCCAGCCTCAGTCCCTCCAAGGTTTAGCCTCAAAGTTGTTGTTACATGAGAAACAATGTGGGTAACCTATAATAAAACAGAATTAAACGGCCGGTGAGATTTATGGCCGTCAGATTAACCTCGATTCTACTTAGGTAATGAACGAAAACCTGAAAAAACGTATGACGATTTTTGTCGAACTCAAAGCAACCACCTTATGCGAAAGCGGGAATTCACCCTTCAACGTTCAGTAGACATCCTGCTCCCCTTCAACGTTTCAAGAACCTTTTGAAGTCAATCTTCTGCTGAACAGAAACTCAAAGCAGGCTCGTTCTACTTTCCTTCGCCAAATACCTCATCAGTTCCTCAGCAAGGGAGACGAACATGCTGAGAAAATTTTTGGTTGAACACCTCGTTCAATTCTGATTTTTGTGCTGTTTTCGTCTTCTTGTCTCTGTTGTAGCTTTAAGACCGTTTTAGAAACTTTCTTTTAATACTTTTTGTCTGTGTCTATAAGTCAGAAGGACGTAATCGGTTATGGAGGTTAAAAGCTGAGGATAGAGTAGAAAATAGAATTTCCGTGAAATGCTAGGCCACAAGCTTATTGTTCATTTAATTCGGATGAAATAGGTCACCAATGTAATAAGAGACTTTGACTATTTCAGCGAAAGTGACCTATGCAGAAAACATGAAGTCGTTCTTCTAGGCTAATAAACGAATGGGTGTCTCTTCAATCTGATCACAAACGCCAGCCCTGAGATCGGTATATCAGCTGATGGAAGTCTACCAGAGCCAAAGGTATATGATCAAGCTAAAGCTAAGCTTTCCATAGACGAGTTACAGACTCGGTGCATAGCATAATAGCAAAATGATATACAGCATCTGCTGAAGGCGAACAGTCGATGATTGTTTCAAATGGTCAGAGAATTTAATTTGCATGTTTTTCACCGTATTTAAAGTGGATTACTCAGCCTAGTGTTGAAACATTTGAGAG